GGAGCGTCGGTGGGGGGAGGCGAGGATCAAAGTACGCAAACACCGAGTCTCACTTTTTTTATTCCGGCAATACTTGCTAGAGAGAGTAATTTTAAGCGGCAGAGCACAGAGAAAACCGTTTTTATTGATTGAAAGACCTGATCGGCGCCGCACGGCGAGTAGAGCAGGCACAAGAAAAAAAGACCTTCTCAGCGCAATGATGCGCTAGTTTAGGCAAAAAAAAGTCTAAATTTTCTGAAGTTTTGCTCAGAAAATTATGAGAAACGAAAAAAACACCTGAAAATTGGGACGAGAGACTAATAACGGCCAGAGGAGCCACAGAAATGATAATATTTCTGAGAAAGTGACTGATAAAGCCCTCGGGGGCAACAAAGAAACATGCGGTGATTCTTAAAAACTGTGTTTCTATCGTCTTTCTCTCTTTTCAGGTATTTAGTCTTATCTTATTCATTTTTAGAAACTTCTTTTTCTCATTAGTCTCCGTTTCATTTGATTCAAAGTTCACGTCATTTTTCCAACCTAAAAATTCCAGCAATACGAAATTTGGATTTTTTTTCTTGAATTTTTTCCAACACAAATTCTGTAATTTAATTCCACATTGAATTGACTATTGGAATGGTGAGAGCTTTTGGAAAATTCCAGAAAATTCCAGATTTTTCCTTTTTTTCAGTTTTGCAGTCAACTAGTTCTGCTGTTTCCTCTAGCATTTGTGATCCATTTGGCGAGCTCTTGTCAGATAGGTACGGTAGTTTTTTTTTTGAATTCTTTCTGTCAAAAGATTTTTCATGTCAAAGAAAACTATATAATGAAAATCATATCTTCTGCATTATCGCGTTTTTTCAGCGATAAACACTCTAATAAAGGGTTTGAAATATTTCTGAAATTTGTCTGAAATAATGTAAAGAGAAGGCTACAATCAGATAAAAAATTTTTCTGCATTGTTTATAGAATTCAACAAACAGAAAAAATTTTCAGACGGTTCTCTGCACCAATGTTCTCCAAAAAATCTGACTCGTGAACCAGGAAAACTGTACGAATGGCCGGAATGGTGTGAAGAATTTAATGGAGATTTGAATTTGGGATTTATCGATTTGAAAAATGCAAACTTCCAGAATCTGGTGGGTATTTTGATGAACGCTTTGATAATATCGGTTTGCATGAAATTGTTTTTTAAATGGACCGTTTGAAACTGGAAAATCAGAATTAAAATCAAATTTAGTTATTCAAATTTTTAATATTGTTTTCAAATTGAATGTAGTTACAACCAAGATTTGGATAACAGTCCCTCTAAATCAAAAGTTACATTTTGCCAATTTGAACAACAATTTTTTTTCAAAATTTCAGCAAAAAATCTCTGGTCGCTTGTCTCTAATCTCGACTCCCTACCATCGAATGCCCCAAATGCCAAATCTAAAAATCATTGAAATTTCAAATGGTCCAGGAGTCGTTATTCTGAATAACAGAAATCTTCGTGATATGCGTGGATTTGTCAATTGGGATCAGGAAATCAAAATTCAAGGCTCCGAAAGTGATGAATTTCCAGTTTTTATATCTGGAAATCGGGAATTGGATACTGTGAATTTGCCAAAATTATTCCATAAACCATCGTCTCCAATTGCTTGTGAAAAACGATTGAAACCGAATTATGATAGTCATTTTGCAGAGGGTTTGTAGTTTTTTTAATGTTTCAAAACTGTCAGAAATTTGAAACAAAAATTTGAGACTTGTGAAATATTAGTTTTGGAATTTTCTGTGAGTTTATAAAAAATTAATGTTCCGCATTTTCCAAATATTAGAATTTTGAATGTGTTTGAATGATACGAGAATCATTCAGTAATTTTTTCAGGACTCTCGCTCTCATTGGTCCTTATCATTATCATTCTCCAATCAACGATTATTTTGTATCCACTGAGTATGGGTGATTCGAATGTCTATTTCGTTCCTGGATATCACAAATCAATTTGAATTTTCGATTTGGAAGAAAATTTTAAATGAAAACCATGAATATCTTATTTGAATGTTCAAAATAAATGAAGTTATTTTTGTAGAATTTTCTATTTCTTATTTGTCCTGTTTTTAAAATAATTTTTGTGTTGAATTTCGATTAACCAAGTAAAATGTTAGGCCTAGAGTGAAAATGACAACAAAAAAAACTAAATAAAATGGGAAGCAAATAGAAAATGACGTGATGAAACTTTAATTTTTTTTTACTTTTCTTCTGATTTTTTTCGGTTATCACTCAAATCCACATAGATTTTCAAATTTTATCCTATTATTCACCCAATTGTCTCTCTCTAATTCATATAAACTTATGAAGTTCCTATCATTGATTTTCATTCAAATTTTTATCAATTTTGGAGAAACCAAAGGAGGAAAATTATCATGGGAAGAGAACCAGCATCGGTTGGAGATTTGTGGAGGAGCAGATTTAAGTGAGCTATAGAGTTCTTGAATAAGGAATTCCTTTTTTCTATTCAGAACAAAACTCGGAATGGTATTGGAGTATTCGTGGTCCCGGAGGATCTGATGGATCTGATTTTTTGTTCTCGGATGCTATTATGATATCCGACAGACATTTTCTAGCGTCCGCGTACTTGGTGTTGGATGAAAAAATGAAATGGAGAGTAAAAAATGTTTCTGATTGGGAATGTTCGTCTGGGTCGGAGTGAGTATTATGTGTCAACTGAAGGAATGTAAATCGTTTTCTAGGCATCTAAAAGTTCCGAATCACGTTTTGGATTACTACTCCCCTCGTTCAGCTCTGGATAGGAATACTCAGAATATCACCAAAAGCATTCGTCTCATCGAAGCGCACATTTTGAAAGGATGCAATCGAACCATACAAAGCGGATTTAAATTTCGATATTCGTTGATGCTGGTGGGATTTAAATGGGTGGACCTAATTAGAAATACTCATGTGTATCCATGTATTGCTGATCAACAAAAAACAGTTCATGAGAAAGAAAAACTTGATTCGTACACGGACAAGGATAAAACTATCAAAGTCGAATTTTGCGAGGTTTGTGCTCTTTTTACCGCATAGCTAATTATATACATCTGCAAGATCTTCGAGAGACTTAGATGAACACACTCTTTATTCTAGTTTAGAACCTTAACTGACCAATTAAGGTGACCAAAAACACGAATTCCCAAATCGACTGCTTCTCTGACTCTCCAAGATGGATTGGTAGTCCCATGATGAAAAAAATGAACGATAGAATCACAATTGTAGCGATTTTCACTTCAGGTAAAATTAGAAAAAAAAGCTTCTAATTTCAATTTTTAATTTTCAGATCCTGTAGATGAAAAAAATTATATACATCGTACAACATGGGATGGTTCTACCCGGATATTTGCTCATTGGCTGGTGTGTGCTCATTGAAAGATGCGGACAGTCTTCTGACGACTACAAAAGCGCCGGAGACGTCGACAACTAAAACGATGCCTTTGACGTCAACTGAATCACCTTCTGGAACTACTTCAGTGTCTTCCACTACATTTCCAAAGATTTCTGAATCTTCTAAAAGCGACGAGTCCAGTAATTACGATCTAATTGCATTCTACATGTTTCGAGAAGTAAAAGCAAGGGAAGATTTGAACCTGGAAGTTTCTATGAACTCAAGTTTTTGTCTAGAACAAATTCAGATGATTTTGGTGCTCTTGATTTGGGTTGTGATTAATAAATGTTGATTTTTTCAAGCTTGAAAAATGTTTCTGTTTCAACATTTCCAGAAGCTTCAATTTTGACAAAGATTCCTAATATCACTGATTTTGATATAGGTTAATTCGAAAAAAAACTAAAAATCCGATAGAAGCGTGAAAACCCCCTATTTCCGAAAAATCCACTTGTGACACAACTTCTTTTTCTTGAAAATTAAGCATCCACATCTACTCATCACTCCTGTTTCACTCCAAATATTCTTTTTTTTCAAAGTATCAATTATGAAATTCCTATCTTTATTTGTCTTGACACAAATCGTTAGCTCTCTCGCTCAAAGTAAATTGTCTATAAAAGAAAATTTGGAACGTTTGGAGAATTGTGGAAAGGAGAATCCATGTGAGTGAGAAGTAAAAAGTCCTACATCGTAGTTCAAGTTACTACCGTAATCCATTTTCCAGTCCAACCAACGGATACAACATGGTTATGGTTGGCTGCTTCAACTGACACCTCTAAACAATTCTTATCAACAGCCAGTATGATTTCCAACCGTCACTTTTTACTTTCCGCATACGTTTTGATAGATGAAAAAATGAATTGGAGAATAAACGGAGATTCTTTAACGGAACATTGTATTGATGGAACCGAGTAAGTATTCATTATATTGGTCTTGAATTCACCTACAAACTGAAATTGAATTTTCAGAAACTCCAGGATCCCAGACGACTTCGTCAAACATATAGTATTCCGACCTCCAGAGTGCTATAAGATCTCCAACACGAAATGTGATTCTATAAAAGTCTCACCAACAAAAGGATACGTTCTAAAAGCTTGCAGTACTTCAATTAGATCCCCACTCTACTTCGAACAACGATACACTCAAATGATAGTGGAATTCGAAATCCTTGATAAAATTAATCACACTTACAATTATCCATGTTTAGTAAATCCGAGAGACCATAATGCTGTGGACGGTTGGGCGACAAAATACGCGTTCAATTCTGAAAATGAACCAATGATTTTTAGAGAAGAGCCATGTGTGGTAAGAGAGTTTGCTGTGGAAGCTAGAAATAGTGAGAAATTAAGATTCAAGGGTTTGGAAGTTTTTTTCCTTGTGGACCTCATTATGATAAGGATGTGCAGGGAAGTGTGTTGATAAAGCAATTAAATGTAACAAAATGGACCATAGTGGGCATGGGATCGACAGGTGAACGCTTACGAATTTATTATCGACTCTAAATCTTGAATTATTCAGGTTACTACCGTCCGGACACCAAACAAAGCATTCTACTAAGCATGGAATACTTTTATAGGGATATTTGCTCGGCTGCTGGAGTCTGCTCATTTGAGGATACACCGAGTATTCCGGAAACAACCACGACTTCAGAATCCACAAATTCTGAATCTCAGACATCATTAACGCCTTCTGAATCCACTCCAACTAGTTTCTGGACTTCCGAATCTTCAACTTCCAGTTCAACCTTACCTTTCACGTCATCTGAGCATTCGACGCCTCCTCCAGAAGATCCTCCAGAAGATCCTCCAGAAGAATCCAACGCACAGAAAACCGAAGATATATTTTTCTACTTGTATCGACAAGTGGAGTCCAGGAAGGAATCTCATTATAGGAATAGTTCTGAAAATCAGAAATTCTGGATTCTGTTAATGATTTATTTTTGGTTTTCTTGTTGAATAAATGAATGCAGATATAAGAATTTGTTAAGAACCATAAAAAATGAAAAAAAAAACAGATATAACGATAGCTTCCGAGGAAAAACAAGTAGATCCTTCACGAACGAAAAACTTCCAATACCATTCGAGGTTTTGTTCTGAATAGAAAAAAGGAATTTCTTATTCAAGAACTCTATAGCTCACTTAAATCTGCTCCACCACAAGTATCTAATCGATGCTGGTTCTCTTTCCACGATAATTTTCCATTGGATTCTCCAAAATTGATAAGAATTTGAATGAAAATCAATGATAGGAGCTTCATAAGTTCATAGAAGTTGAGTAGGAAAAATAATAGGTTTAGGTTTGAAAATCTATGTGGATTTGAGTGGTAACCAAAAAAGGAGCCAAAAAAGTGGGCAAGAATTTTTCAGTTTCGTCACGCCAATTTTTGTGATTGATTTCCAATTAATGTATTCTTGGTAGAGTAACGTGTCGACACGATTGTCGATCGATTTGGAGTCAAAATGTCGTTTTGAAGGAGTCGACAAAAATCGTGTCGACCTTCACCAAGAGCGATATCGTGTCGACAAAAGTCGACAAATGTCGACAAAGGCGACACGACACCGGCATAACTATATGGTGAACTTTTTATGCCTATAAATCATAGATGTCCGAAATGACTTTTTGAGTGACGGAATCCGGGCCCAGTATCCAAGGGTACATCAGAAAAGGGTACATCGAGGGTACATCGAGTTCTTAGGGTACATTGGATCAGAGGGTACATCAGTTCTTAGGGTACATCTGGGAGGTAGGTTCAAGGGGTACATCTGGCGTTGGTTCTGAGGGTACATCGGAGAAAGGATCCCAGGGTACATCGACAAGTTCTTAGGGTACATCAATTAAAAATTTTGTAGTTTTCAACTGGAAGATATTTTGGTATAAACTGCACTATTTTGCTTGTTTTTTTTCGATTTGTTTGAAAAAGTACAGTTTTTCATAGTTTTATTGATTGACCAGCAAGCTGGTGAGCCTTCGGCGCGATTCCATCTATTTTTTTCAAAACTTCGTTTCTCACTTTTTCTAAATAAAAGGGTCACGTAAATATATATATATATATATATTTTTATGCTCCAAATTTTTACAAATAATGTGTTTTGAATTGCTTATTAGTTTCATAACAAAAGTTTCTCAATTGTAGAAATTTTTTTTTCTTATTTTTAGATTTTAGAGATTTTCCCTAGATGTGAAAAAATGAAAAATTGTTTTCTACAATTGAAAAACTTTTGTTATAAAACTGATAAGCAACTCAAAACATATCATTTGTGAAATTTCGAGCATCAAAAAATACATTTTCAGCTGAGTTATGGCAAAAATGCCAACACATATCTTTTGTGCTCTGGGCATCATGACGAGCCCGACTTCCAAAATTCTTCAAAATTTTTTTGGTATATACGGACACTTTTTTTGGTATATATAGACGCATATTTGGACACTGAGAATCATTTGACATTTAAAATCAAAACCAGAAAAAATTCTGGAAAAAAGTTTTTTTTGGATTCACGAACCACTGTAACATCTGAAACTGCTCTGAAAATTCTGAAAATGAGACATTTTCAAAAAACCGATTTTTATGTTTTTGGATTTTACAGCTAATCTCATACAAAATTTCAAATCAATTGAGCAATTTTGAACTAAGTTATGAATGTTCGAAAAAATTCTCCTCACCACTTCTCGCCACTATATGTCTGTACATATATCTTGAAGACGTTCGATTTTCAATGCGATTTAATCTTATTTTCATGAAATTACAGTTTCATATTGTTGTCAAGTTTAGGGCTATTTGATTCTCAACAATTCGTTACAGATATTTGAATCTCGGGAGAAGGACCTTATAGGAGAGTTCCTATTTCTATGTTCGACTTTCGAATTCTGACTTCCGCTTTCCGAACTCCTGAACTGTAATTTTTGTATTGTGAATTTGAATCACGAATTTTGAATTTGGGATTTTGACTTCCATTATCCGATTTCTAACGACTTTAGAACTCATTTTATGTATCAGGTTAGTTTTTACAATAATCTGAAAAAGTGTGTTTCAGTAATTTTACTTATCTTTCTGCTAAAACCGATCGTTTGTAATTGAATTATTTTCAAAAAAGAAATTTAAAACCGCAAATCAAAATTTATTCATTCTATGAAAAAAATCATTAATCGAACGCCAATGGATTGAAAAGGTCGCCAATCCGTTTCACTTTGATATGATGACGATCCATCTCTAATTCCCATTGATGAGCCATCACACAAGTAGAACGAGCCGCCCAGTAGTATCTGACATATGGTTTCACATGTTCCCAAGTGCAATTCGGTTGTTTTTTCAGTTCAGTGGTGTGGCATTTCAAGTTGGATTTGTTGAATCGATTGCAGTTAAAATCATCTTCCAAAGCACCGCATTGGTTAAATAGGCTCCATTCAGCTTCTCTTGTTAGGCATTCAGGCAACGTGGCATGAAAATGATCAGAAATCCAGCGTTGATTGAAAAAGACGGATTGAAGAATTCTGGAGCTGTTACAATTTAAAAATCCGGAGCAGTCCAAGACATGTGTAATTTCGTTGACAAGTTCCTGAGTTTTATTCAGGTCCCGTAAGGGAATATCGTCGAATTTAGTGAAAAGAGGTGTCTGAAACATTGATTACTGATAATGGATTTACTGTAGTGTATGTTCACCGTTTAGCTCAGTTGGTACTTTAATAGACTATTGATGAAAATCCTTCAAACTTTGAGCCAAATTATCAGTTATCAATAACCTTTTGAGGTACTGATTGAGCTACGCGGTCAACTGACTCACCCTTATACATCCCAATATCTTGTCATATTCCTCTTGACACTGCTGATCGGTAACGACTGGTGGTGGTGTTCCCCATTGGCCAACAACGACCAATGGAAAAAGCAATATCAGGAAATAATGGAACATTTTCCGATATTTCTTCCTCTGTTTCATGGCATTTATATGAATTGGATAGAACAATCGTTTTTGTTATCAATGAAAAAGTATCAAAAACAATTGAATCTGAAAGTTTCCGGGAAGAAACCATTGAAAAAATATATAATGAACAATTGTCTTTTGATTTTTTTTAACCAATCGGACACAGAAACAAAAAACAATTGTTCTATCAAACTTATATAAATAATCTGAAACAGACGAAGAAAAACCAAGAAATGTTGCAGTATTTCCTTGTCTTGCTCTTCCCACTAGTCGTTTTTGGCCAATATGAGACAGCATCACCAGTGGTTACCGATCAGCAGTGTCAAGAGGAGTATGACAAGATACGTGGATGTGTAAGGGTGAGTTTGTTGACCGCGTAGCTCAATATATGTCTCTGGAAGGAACCATAAAATTAGTTTTATTAAAGGAGGCCAGACACCAAAAAAAAAAGTTTTCCTGATATTTTGCATACAGAACCCCCATAAGGGGTTGAACTCATGACCGGCAGCTCAGGGGTACAGCGCTGCTACCGGCTGAGCTACGGGGGCGCGAAGGCGCCTGACGACCGATGATCTACATAAGCGCGGCGCGATTTCGTCCCCCGAACTGTCCCCCGAACTTTTTGTCTCGCCTCCTTTAATAGTCCATTGAGTTATTAACTGAGCTACGAGGCTATTGTCGGATTAAAAAGTGACACATGAAAATCTCGGAGACTGCGCTCGTATCGATTTACAAGGGGGCGGAGCGAAAACGGATACTGTAGATAACAAATTTATTTATGTGAATTTAGTGTGATTTTCTGAACAAAATTTTGATTTCCTGGTACAAAAATGAACGCTAGCATCTATAGAATCCATTTTTCAGCAAAAAACTAAACTTCAACGCGAAAGTAGCTCGAACGAGCCGAAGGTCTGAAATATTACGTTTTTGCCGCGCTTTTTCGTAGATCAAAAAAAGCAAAAGTTTTCAAATTCTCAGGTATCACTTTTTTAATTCGACAATAACGGTGTATCGTATTATCAGTAGTTATTATTTCCGACCACTCTTTTCCGTAAAATTGGCGATATGCCGGTACCGGATCCAAATAAAAATTAGGAACTTGTCAACGAAATCACACATGTCTTGAATTGTTCTGGAATTATGAACTGCAACAGCTCCATTATCCTTTAATCCTACATCTCCAATCAACGTTGGATTTCTAACCATTTTCATGCCACGTTGTCTGATTGCCTAACAAGAGAAGCTGACTGGGAAATCCGTAAACAATGCGGTGGTATTGAATAATACCAATGCAACCGATTCAACGAATCCAACTTGATGTGCCACCTCACGGAACTGAAAAACAGCCAAATTGCACTTGGGAACATTTGGATCCATATGTCCGATTCTATTCGGCGGCTCGTTCTAGTTGCTTTTTGGGCATTCGATCGATATTAGAAATGGCTCGTTATCACATCAAAGAGAAACGAACTTTTGATCCAGTGGTTTTTGATTCATCAACGTTTTATTGAAGAATGAATAATTTTCGATTTTCAATGTTCATATTTACAAGTAGAACACCAATAAACAAGAAATCGTATGAATGATTTAAGCAGAAAGCTAAGTGGGCTTTCTGAAACACATTTTTTCAGATTCTTGTAAGTTTTTTAAAGATTATGAAATATGTTTTTTAAATGAGAAATCTTGAGCTCATTTTTCTTGGCTCCTATGCAACATTTCGAAAATATGCCAACTGATAAAAGTTTGTGATATTATGATGAACAATTTATCAGTTGACAGCTGATTCATATCTTTGACGGGAACCAAAATTGACTCACTTTTTAAAAACTTGCACTTTTGTTATCCTGAATTTTTTCTGTGTTTTGCTCATTGCGTTTTTGATTCTTTCAAAAACTTTTTCCTGAACTTGTCTGCCATTCTCCTCTTCCCTGGAAACTGTCACTCATTTTCTAGACTGACTCCTTTAAAAGCCGTTTCTTTTTACTTGTCTCACATCCAAATCTTCTGAGTTTTGGTTTCTGAAAAACTGAAAAATGATTCCGTTCATTTTGAAGTTGTCGATTTTCCTAATGTTAACAATTTCAATCCAATCCCAAAAAACAAAAATGATTGTTGTCTATGGATTCCCCCAGTCGGCTAGTGGCTGTAAAGATTTCGATGGTACATGGGATGAATGCGTTCAATATTGTTTCCATACCGAAACTTGTGTGGTAAGGTTTCATCTTTTTCTAGCTGGAAATAAAAAATCCGAAAATTTTCAGTTTGTCACTCTATTTACTGATACAATGACATGCGTTGCTTGTTTATATGAGAATGTCATTTCTCAAATTTATCGTCGAGAGGAAGGAAACAAAGTTGTAATCAAGATTACGGTAATTTTTGAAAAATTTAAAATGTATTTCAAATTGAATACTTGAGTTTCAGCTAGACAAAAAATGGAATGATACATGTCCACTAGGTATCAAATACGCACCAACGTTTTTATCTAGCCCAGTTGTGGTAATTTTTCTAATAATCGACTTACCTCGGTTCCTGTGAAAGATACCAGAAAGGGGTCAACTGACAAAATCTTTCTGACATTCTGATACACAATTTATCAGTTTACCATTGTTTGATATCTCTCACAGAGAACGAGACACACGGGGTCTAAGTTTATTCGTTTTCAGGGAGATGCGTCCACGACTAAAGACGGCGGGAAAATTCAAAACTACACCATTACCTGGGACTACATCAGTTGGAAGTTTAAAACATGTTCTGTGTAGAACTCAACTTCAGGCCTATTATCTACTGAAAAAAATATTCAATTTTTTTCTGGCTGAGTTTTCATATATTGCATGTTTATAGACTTGTAAGGTATATGAGAAACAGTTTGATCTTAATAGAGGCCGGACACCAAAAAAAAAGTTTTCCTGATTTTTTGCATAGAGAACCCCCATGAGGGGTTGAACTCATGACAGGCAGCTCAGGGGTACAGCGCCGCTACCGGCTGAGCTACGCGAAGGCGCCTGACGGCCGATGGTCTACATAAGCGCGGCGCGATTTCGTCCCCCGAACTGCCCCCGAAATTTTTGCTGTCTCGCCTCCTTTAACATAGAACTTTCATTTCAGATGTGAAGGAAATTATCAGTATCAAACTTGGGTAGTGATTTTTAGACACAAGGCCTTTTCATTATTGTACTCTTTTTCCGGTTCCAAAATTTTTGTATAAAGATTTGGAGTTACAATTAATTTAGTCATACTTGTAACGGGCCGGGCTTTTTCCCGAATTTCGGAGGCCCGGCCCGGCGGGCCTGTCATTCCACAAGTTTTGAAAAATTTAAAAAACACATAAGGGGGGACCCTTATGTGATTTTTTCGATCAAAATTTTTTTTCGAGTTTTTTTTTGATATTTTTTGATCAAACAGACAAACAATCCAAAAACACAAAAAATAATGGAGAAAATTGTATTGAGAGCTCAAAATTTGGCTCAAAATGACAAAATTTTTGCTACCGGGCCTTCCGGGCCGGGCCCGGGCCTTGAAAATTTCCTCAGGCCCGACCCGGGCTTTGGCGGGCCCGCCCGGAATTCTACAAGTATGAATTTAGTAATTTGATTGCGTCTATACATATTTTTGAAAATCTGTAATTCTTACTTTTCTCGGAAAGAATTGCAGGTTTTTGCACTATTGTGATAAGTTTAAGTAATTTTTGACTTATGGGTATTGAAATAATTATTTATGTTAGAAGAGAAACAGGAAATATTTTCCGGAACATTCAAAAAATGGAACAATGCTCATAAACTTTATTTTACTCAAAAGAAACTTGTTACAACTGCAAATTATCATAATCTGCTGGATTGAATTTCTTATCAAACGTTTCGATATAAGTCAAGTCTCCTCCTTGAACAGCAAATGATGTTGGCATGGCAACTTGACTCAAATCCGCAAAAGCAGTTGCCCCCTTCAAGAATTCTAATTTGGCCACGTCATCGCAATTTTGCTCGAGAGCAACACATCTGGCAATTGGTCGAGCGGATTGGGAGATGAGGGATGTGTCTCCGAATTGAATGTGTTCAAGAGGGATTTCTTTCAGAGTACAGATGAGTGTAGAGGATTGGAGGTTTCTCTGGAAAAAATGTTATAGTTAGTGTTAAAGTTATTGTTAATTTTAAATTTAGTGTTAAAAATAACAATGGAGTCGCCATGGAGCCGACTACTCGATATTCTTGTGAATAGTTGAAACAAGCGTTATAGATCGCTCTACTTCCGTTATTGAGAAATTTCTGATCAAAACCTGGTCAAGATTTATTAAAAATCCCAAAAATTTTTTACTGTACCACAGTTCCATCTTCATCTCATCAAAGATAGAAAAAAAACGCTTCATTTCGACTTCTCACCTCATTAAAACAATCATGTCCTCCAAGAGCAATTTTCTCCATGGCATATGTAGCGGATTCCACAATGTACATGGTCAAAATCAATTTGTTACATGTGACCTCTCCAACGCATTGAATGGCTTTCTTCACTTTTGGAAGCTCATCACGGATCTCTTCTTGAGCTGGGAACGCGCCAGATTCCTTGTATGGAGTGGTGGTCTGGAAGTTTTATTTTTTCGTTTCGTGGAGCTATTTTGGAATTGGAATTTTCGGAAAAAATTTATAGGATCTGTGCCGCAAATTTACCTCCTCAACATCTTTGAAACAATCTTTGAATCTGGCGGATTCCCTTTGACAGGCAGGTGAATCATCCATAGAATCGAAGATGTCTTTGAGGGATTTGATGGAATCCAATGAAGCAGAAGCCAAAGCTACAATAAACGAAATGAGAAGAAGAGACTTGAACATTTTCCGACAATTCTCAGACACTTTTTCAGGAGGTGTGAAGATTCGAAAGAAATGGAGAAGCTTTTATAGCAAGAAAATGTTGTGTGATTCAGAATATTTTGATTAAGTTTTCGATATTTTTCAGTGTGAGTCAGGGTTAAAACTTGAATCATCAGAACCATGAAGATCAACTAAAAATGAACTTTTGTGCCTGGACTTCAAAAGTTTTCTTATATTTCGCCTTTCGAAATTATCAGAATACCGTAAGTTCTATAATAGCACGCCACTCTACTTTGAGCCTAACTACCCAATTTTTGTGAGTGATATCAAAAATCTGACAACTGGTAAAATGTTTGTTTAGATATCAAAAAATTTTGTAGTTGATAGATTTCTGATATCTCTTACAGAAAATGAGATAATTGAGGTTAATGAGAAAATTCCCTTTGAATTCCCTTTGACAAATTCCCTTTGACAGAGTGGCGTTACATTTTAAGAATAATTGTTTTATTTGCCAGTCGTTTGTTTAAAAGTTATAACGATTGATAGTGAGAAATTTAATTTATTTAAAGGTGGGGGGACATGAAAAAAAAAATGTTCTCGAAATTCCGTTTAAATATGCCCATCGAGGAGTTGAACTTGTGGGGGCGAGGATTGAGGGTGCGGCGCCGCTACCGACTGAGCCACGCGGGCAAAAAGATGCCGCCCGATTGCATACATAAAGGCGAGGACGAGAGCTGTACGCAGAGTGACATTAAGCGTTGTACACCGTCACGGTAGAATGCATACCCTAACTCCAAAAAACCTCCGAAAAATCTCTGTCCCCCCACCTTTAACAAATAAAATATTGTTCCAATTCTGAGTCATCTGTTTTCTTTAGCATTTTCTCCACTAAGAAAATCTTTCCATTGTTCTATTTTTCTATAAAACATTTTCCTGAAACTAGCAAAGACAGCAATGATATCTTATATTTTACTTTTGTTTCTCCTTCCAATTTCTATCTACGGCCAAGAGGATCAAGAACAAATTTGTTTAACAAAATTCAAGGAAGCTAAGAAATGTATGGATGTAGCTTTTAATTTTATTATGTAGTTCTATAGGTACGTTTTCAGAATTTCCCACTATGAAAAGAAATCGATAAGGCTCCATTTCCGTATAAAGATAAGAATGAACAATTTGAAGAGGAAATGTTCCAACTGTCAAGGTGCCTGGATCATGATGGTTGCCCAGTTTTGGAACAGTTCGAAGTTTATGCCCGCTTAACTAGAAACTATGCGACATCATTGAGCAATTCAACTTGTATAACCCCGGAAACTATTCCCGGTATTGTAAAAATCTGTAATAGGAGACCAAGACCACCATCAGATCATGTTGAGTCACCTTGCAACAATCGTCCTAACGATCACTCAAGAGAAATGCAAACTGATAGAAAAGAATAGAAAGCAATGGAGTCATTATTTTGATATGATTGGGATGGAAATTGATTTTCCTGTTTTGTGAATAATAAACATTTATGTTTCTAAACTGGAACCTTTTTTTATTGTTGCCTTTGATAGTTTCAGGAAATTTTTTATAGAAAAAGGGAACAATGGAATGAATTTTCGATTGTGGATTTTTTGAAGAAAATTAAGACTCAAGTTTGGAACATATTGTTTTTTTTTTCGTTTTTTTTAATGTTTCCGGAAAAAACATTATTAAAATGCGAAAACTGTAAACAGTGTTATGTGGAGATTCTGAAACAGAAGAAAAAACAGAGTGAATATAAAATTCATGACATTAAAAATATTATTAGAAAGCTAGTTTTTTTCAAGTTTATTATTATATGTGAGCCAATTTTTTTGGTGCCTGCCAAAGATAACAAAAAGTGGAGTACAGATGAATTACTTATCACAATATCAGTAGTTTTTTGTCAGTTGACCCATTCTCATTGACCCAATTCCCCTCTCATTGACCCAATAAAATTTAACCCAAATTTTATATTTAATTTTACTCAATAATATTTGTGTCACATGCAGAAGATCAATTACTCCTAATTGTTCGAAACTGAAAACATTTCAAATAAACTGCTTTGAGATTGACAACGTTAGAATGATACCAAGTTGATCTTGTGTTCCATGTCGCTAAATTTTGTTAAACAAAATTTTTTGTTAAACAAAAATTTCTTGAATTTTGTTAAACAAATTTGTTCTTGATCCTCTTGGCCGTAGATAGAAATTGGAAGGAGAAACAAAAGTAAAATATAAGATATCATTGCTGTCTTTGCTAGTTTCAGGAATATGTTTTTATAGAAAAATGGAACAATGGAATGATTTTTTGGTGGAGAAAACTCTAAAGAAAATGGATGACTCAAAGTTGTATTATTTGAAAAAAATATAAAAAATTGCATTCCAGAAATAAAAATAAAAGTTCCGGGAATTTGTTTTTTGAATTCAAACATTTTTTTTCAGCGATTTCTCATAACATGCTTTAATTTTATGTTAATCTTCTACGAGATATAATATGATTTTTTGAGTTTCACTCAAGTTTCATAAATTGCAATTTTTATAAAAACTGTTATACTTTCGAGTTCACTTGTTTAAGAAATTAAGGCAACTCTGCAGTTCCCAAAACTTTTTTTATTCTTGGAATGCAATTTTCCAATATAATTTTCTAATGTTCCAAACTTGAATCATACATTTTTTTTTGAACGTTTTTTCATCAAAAATCATTCCATTGTTCCATTTTTCTATAAAAACATATTCCTGAAACTACCAAAGACAGCAATGATTTCCTATATTTTCCTTCTCTTACTCCTCCCAATTTCTGTCTACGGTCAAGAGGATTAAGAGGACATTTGTCTGAGAAAATTTCAGGAAGCGAAGACATGTATGGATGAAGGTTTTCATTTTATTAATGTAGTTCTACATCTACGTTTTCAGAAATTCCCGCTCAGCAAAGAATTCGGCAAAGCTCCATTCTCGGAAAAAGTAAAAAATGAGCAATTCCTAAATAACTTGTTCCAATCAGAACTATGCATGACTGACGGTGAATGTGAATCTTATAGAGAATTCCGACTCTATCTTTCTGATACTGAATCATATGTGACGTATTTCACTAACACAACTTGTATAAACCCTGAAACTCTTCCCGCTATTCTGGAGACCTGTAATGAGGGACCAATACCTATTGCACCTCCTTGCTACAGATTTACGGATTCTTGTTTGATTGATGAGCTCAGGAAGCAAGGACAGTGCTCATCTGGGCAACTGGGCTCTTTTCAAAAGATGCTTACGCACGCTCAAAATAGATGCGAACAATTAATAAAGAATAGCATGCAGTGGCGTCGCTATTTAAATTTGATTGAAATGAAAGTGGATTTTCTTCACATGTGAGACAATAAACATTTATCATGCATTCTTGTTTTTTTAATAATAAATTTCAAATAGTGTAGAGTTTGCAAACATGTAGCTTACTTAGCGACATGGAACACAAGATCAACTTGGTATCATTCTAACGTTGTCAATCTCAAAGCAGTTTATTTGAAATGTTTTCAGTTTCGAACAATTAGGAGTAATTGATCTTCTGCATGTGACACAAATATTATTGAGTAAAATTAAATATAAAATTTGGGTTAAATTTTATTGGGTCAATGAGAGGGGAATTGGGTCAATGAGAATGGGTCAACTGACAAAAAACTACTGATATTGTGATAAGTAATTCATCTGTACTCCACTTTTTGTTATCTTTGGCAGGCACCAAAAAAATTGGCTCACATATAATAATAAACTTGAAAAAAACTAGCTTTCTAATAATATTTTTAATGTCATGAATTTTTATATTCACTCTGTTTTTTCTTCTGTTTCAGAATCTCCACATAACACTGTTTACAGTTTTCGCAATTTTAATAATGTTTTTTCCGGAAACATTAAAAAAAACGAAAAAAAAAACAATATGTTCCAAACTTGAGTCTTAATTTTCTTCAAAAAATCCACAATCGAAAATTCATTCCATTGTTCCCTTTTTCTATAAAAAATTTCCTGAAACTATCAAAGGCAACAATAAAAAAAGGTTCCAGTTTAGAAACATAAATGTTTATTATTCACAAAACAGGAAAATCAATTTCCATACCAATCATATCAAAATAATGACTCCATTGCTTTCTATTCTTTTCTATCAGTTTGCATTTCTCTTGAGTGATCGTTAGGACGATTGTTGAAGGTGACTCAACATGATCTGATGGTGGTCTTGGTCTCCTATTACAGATTTTTACAATACCGGGAATAGTTTCCGGGGTTATACAAGTTGAATTGCTCAATGATGTCGCATAGTTTCTAGTTAAGCGGGCATAAACTTCGAACTGTTCCAAAACTGGGCAACCATCATGATCCAGGCACCTTGACAGTTGGAACATTTCCTCTTCAAATTGTTCATTCTTATCTTTATACGGAAATGGAGCCTTATCGATTTCTTTTCATAGTGGGAATTTCTGAAAACGTACCTATAGAACTACATAATAAAATTAAAAGCTACATCCATACATTTCTTAGCTTCCTTGAATTTTGTTAAACAAATTTGTTCTTGATCCTCTTGGCCGTAGATAGAAATTGGAAGGAGAAACAAAAGTAAAATATAAGATATCATTGCTGTCTTTGCTAGTTTCAGGAAAATGTTTTATAGAAAAATAGAACAATGGAAAGATTTTCTTGGTGGAGAAAATGCTAAAGAAAACAGATGACTCAGAATTGGAACAATATTTTATTTGTTAAAGGTGGGGGGACAGAGATTTTTCGGAGGTTTTTTGGAGTTAGGGTATGCATTCTACCGTGACGGTGTACAACGCTTAATGTCACTCTGCGTACAGCTCTCGTCCTCGCCTTTATGTATGCAATCGGGCGGCATCTTTTTACCCGCGTGGCTCAGTCGGTAGCGGCGCCGCACCCTCAATCCTCGCCCCCACAAGTTCAACTCCTCGATGGGCATATTTAAACGGAATTTCGAGAACATTTTTTTTTTCATGTCCCCCACCTTTAAATAAATTAAATTTCTCACTATCAATCGTTATAACTTTTAAACAAACGACTGACAAATAAAACAATTATTCTTAAAATGTACAATTTATGAAACTTGTATAAAACGGGAAAAATGTCTAGAACTTTTGTTGACTTTTATTCTGAATAAATTTTTAAAATTCCGAGAGTAAATCTGAATAATTTTTTTCGAACGCAAAATTGGTGTTCGATCAGTACCCAAAACTTAATTGTATACTTGTTATGCAGTTTTTATAATTTTCTGATGATCCAAACTTGAGTCATAAATTTTCTTTAGAAATTTCTAATCACCAAAAACCTCTTCATTGTTCCATTTTTCTATAAAACATTTTCCAGAAACTACCAAAGACAACAATGATTTCCTATATTTTCCTTCTCTTACTCCTCCCAATTTCTGTCTACGGTCAAGAGGATCAAGATGACATTTGTCTGAAAAAATTTCAGGAAGCTAAAACATGTATGGATGTAGGCTTCCATTTTATTCATGCAGTTCTATAGGTACAATTTCAGAAACTCCCGTTATCCAAAGAGATTGACAAGGCTCCATTTTCGGATGAAGCTAAAAATGAACAATTCCTAGATGAAATGAAACAATTGAGAAATTGTGTGCCTCATGATGGTTGCCCAGTTTTGAATCGGTTTGTATCGTATTTTTATGAAACCGAAATGTATGCAAAATATTTTACCAACGCAACTTGTATAACCCCTGAAACTCTTCCCAAACTTCTGAAGACTTGTAACAAAAGACCCATGCCACCATCAGATCGTGTTGAACCTCATTGCGACAAATATGCGGACAGATGTTTAATCAATAAGCTCAAGGAGCAAGGACAGTGCTCCCGTCTTCAAATGGCTTATTTCGGAATGATGCTACAAACCGCTAAAATTATATGCGAACTAGTAGAGGAGAATAGAGAGCAGTGGAGTCATTATTTCAATTTGGTTGATGTGAAAATTGATTTTCCTGTTATGTGAACAATAAAAATTTATCATGCATATATACTGTAATTTCATCTGATATTGTTGAGTTCGTGTAGCTCAGCGACATGGAACCTTCAGTTTATGGCACGCATTATCAACTTTCTCACCTTGTTAATCTCTAAAATATTTGAAATTTCATGTTTCAAATATTTAGGCAGATTACATGATCTGAATTTGAAACTTTGATGGGAAATTAATTATAACCAAGCTCAATTCTTTAATACTTATAGTACTGGAAAACCGGGAAATAAGGATGCAAAATAGGGATGATAGATACTTGCAGAAATGTCTGGATATAAAAGACGAAGAGGAGATTTTGAAACGGAAACCGTAGTGTAAACTGTTTTTTTATGAATATTTGAAATGTGTGAGTTAGAAGATAAAGATGGACAACCAAAAAAGGGGCATCTTGGATTCTGAAACTGATATTAGTCTCCTTCCGAAGAGTGGAACTTATGAGCCTAATATTGGAGGTGCCGCGCCGCTACCGGCTGAGCTCGGCGTCGGAGACGCAGACAGTTAGAAAGATTCGTTGTCTGCGTGTCTAGCCCAGTGAACTTCTAAAATTGTATCTCGAGTCCTAGATTACCTGATGGTGAGTATGTATGGGTTACGGAAGTCTCTAAAAACTTCTAAACTCTCTTCTCTTTTAATTAATTTTTTTGAAGTTAGAGAAACTGAAATTTGAACATGTCATTGATTCAGTTGTAACGAACTAATTGAGAAACCTAAATAAAATGGAAAAGCTGAAACATTAAAAGACCTGCTAGACAAAAACATTTGTACTAAGTTTGTAAAAAGTAGTTCAATATTCAAAAAATAAAGTTTCAGAAAACTGTGACAATAGATTGAAGGAAACAACAAAATGCTTTGTTTGCAGTAGGCATATTTGTATTTTCAGATTGTGGCACTTTGAAAAAATTCCCCTTTTAATTTGTTTTCAAATAGTTTCACAGGTTTTGTTGATAATTTATAGCTTTTACTCTGAAGGCGACTACAGTACTAAATCTGACCTTCCCATCAACATTTTCAAAACATCTTTACCTTTTTTGGTCCCCTCCTTTCCCGGAACTTTCTAGATTTTCCCCTAAACACTATTTACACACTCCTGACACTTTCTCCAGTTTCAAATGAATAGAAAGTCCACTAGACTCTCTTTTCACACAAAGTTTCGGTACAATCTTTGCTCTCTCTTCCCAACTTCAACGTTTCTAATTGATCTTTCGATCCTTGTATTCTTTTCTCCGTGCTGCATTATTTGATCTATTCCCCGAAAACTTCAGATTATGTTTGTACTTTGATCCTTTTGGGACATGCGAAATCCTGATTTTGAATAGAAAATTAAGAATTTTGTGCTTTGATATTTCGATTTTCTACTAGAACCTTACCTTATATAAATATTTTAGTGATAATATGGTGAGTATTTGGTCAGTCTTTTTGATATTTTTTATAGGAACCGAGATACATTGATCGAAATGTTGGCGCCCATCATATACCATTTCTGTAAACCTCTGAAACTCTAAAAATAACATTTTTAGAACTGTAATTTTTTCATTTTTGGAAATTTTGGGTTTGTTCAAATTTCAGTTTCAAACAACAATTTTTAGATGGTTTCAAATATTTTTCCGTTTTTGACTGATTTAAACAGCATCCTATGACATTTAAACAGCATCCTATGAAAAAAACAGAAAATATTTTTGATAATATGATAAACATTTTGTCAGTTGATCACTTTTTGATATCTTTTGTGAAAAAAAAAAATTTCTCACGAAAAGCTTTGAATTTTTTTTCTGAAATTTCAAAAAAAAATTCAAATTTGAAGAACTCGGGCCCTGATTTTGTAAGGATAATTTTAGATGATTTAAAAGTTTGGGTTGTTTTGTAGTAGCCCATCCCAACAAAATTCTGATTTTTGTTTGTGACTTTTCTTGATTTGCAGTTATTCAAAGTTTCCTGTAATAGATGGGTTCTCTACTTTTGACGCAACTTATCTTTGTACCTGTAACTGATATCAAAAAGTAGACAACTGATAAATTCTTTTTTTGATAATCTGATAAACATTTTGTTAGTTGAAACTTTTTGATAGCCTACAGGATACGTGGGACACTACAAACATATTTCATTTTTCTAAACCTCTGAACATAACTTCTCGGAGCTGTAATATTTTCAGGTTTTGATAAATGTTGGATTTTTGAAATTCTCGGTTTCAGATAACAAATTTTTGATTTTTTTTTCAAAATTTGGGTTGTTTTGAAGAAGTTCATTTTAACAAAATTCGAACTTTCGGTTTCAGATTTTCAAACTTTCGGTTTCAGATCCTAATGGAAAGGTTCAGAATTTAGTTACACTTCAGTTTGAGATGCATGTTCCAAAATTGTGTCCCTTTCATTCTGTTTTCTGACTTTGAGAAGAAATTTGTAATTGATCTGTGAACTTATTTTGAACAAAAAGGAAGATAAGAGAAAAACAAACAGTGTTGACTCAGCATATTGATGCACTAAATAATAATTTGAGCCAATTGTGTGAGACAGCAAAACACAAGAATATTTTGGTTTCATTTCTCTGTTTCAATATACTCATGAAGTTATGCCAATTTCTTTTCTTCAATTTTTTTCAGTTTCCTTTTTTAGACTCTACTTTCCGAAATTCCGAAAAACCCCCCATAAATCAAAAAAAAAGTTCATCCCCATTAACCCCAATTTGCATTCCGAAATCCTCTTTTTGGAATCTTCCTCCTTTATATGTAATTTCTATAAAATTATTTTCGATGCATCTCCCAGATAGCAACGTAGGAGATTTCGATCAAAATGTACCTCGTCTAATTTTCCAGGTTTTTTTACAGAGTGGTCCCTTTTTCTCTTGAAATCGGTCACACGAAATCTCTAATTCACTCCATTTTTGAGAAAAAGAGATTAGGATCTAGAATGGAAACATTTGGAAATCTTTACGAATTTTCTGTTCCTATCGTCTTAATTTTATATTTCTAGACTTGTAGAGAATATTTTTTTGAAATTTGTAATTTTTCAATCTATTCCAATTTTTTCTGTTTCAAATTGTAATTTTTAGTGGAAATTTATACAAGTTTTAACAATCGGGCCTCTTTATCCACTAGAAATATAGTAGTATTAATTTATATTTATTTACGTATCGAAATAACACTCTACAATCTCAAGTTTTTTGGAACCTATAATTTTTATATCATCTCACAATTTTCAAAATTGAGTTTTTCCGATTTTTTCTGTTTCAAAATGCTATTTTTTAAAATTAAAACTGTTCAAGCAATTTGGTGTCTGTATCCGATTTTTAATATTTATAATGTTTGTTTTTCAATTTTTCCGCGAGACCTATATTAAAAAGGTTTTCTGAATCAGATGCAATTTTCTAAACCTTTGAAAATTCCTACTTGGAACTGTAACTATATTTATTTAATTTTTAGAAAATTTGGATTTTGTCAGAGTTTCGGCCTCAGATAATTATTTTGAGAGGGTTTCAAATTTCGGGTCCGATGCCCACTTTAACCAAAATATAACGTTTTTTTCAAAGTTTCTTCTCTCTTGAAATTTCAATTTTCAATTCTTTTTTGAATTTTAGCGATAAAAGCACTTTTGAATTCCGTGCAGCTTCTATTAATATATATGTATATCTCACTGTGCAGTCGGAAAACAGATTTTTTTCAAATTTGAAAACTCCCAATTTTCCGGTTTCAACTGGTAATCATGAAATTCAGATATTGATAATTAATTAGTTATGATTGTTTTCCCGATTGTGCCTAATATAAGCATTCAAATCACAGGAATTTCAAACGTTCATGTGATTTCAAAATCTTAGTTTCTCAATTCCGAGTTCCAGTTTTTCTGAATTTTTTTCTATTTCTAAAAAATGAGATGTAAATTTTCAATTCAAGAAAAATGTGATTAATGGCCATTTCTGATAGAACAGTAACATAAAAAACTGTAACAGTAATATAACTGCACTTTTACAATGTCAAAGTTCTACAACGTCACATTTCTATCACTTTCTATCCCTTCGAAATATCCAACTTTTTTAAGGTCCAAAAAATTCTTTTTGTTTCCAATTCAGTATAATTTTCATAAATTTAATATGAAGCCGTCCACATTTGAGAAGTATAGGTCCCCTCATGTTCTCCAAAGAAAATCTCGACCATAAACATTTCGACCTGTACAAATTTTTCCTCTCTACGTCATAAATTTCTGTTCGCTCTTCTTCTTTGTCGAGTACTAGAACTATTTTTTTGGTGGTTTGATCTCATGAACTTTGATATTGTTAGGAAAAAAGAGAGACTGACATTGATAAAAGACAGAAGACACGAGGAGAGAAGAAAAAGAGGGCAAATTATTTTGGTTCCATTGAAACAAGACAAAAAGGACGAGGAGTACTGTAGGAAAAGGTTTTGGTTGTTTGATTTTGGATGGAGGGCAAAATGTGGTATAACGATGGGTGTGATGTTTGACTATTTTCTAGACGTGTGTGTTTGATTAGAAGCAAAAAAACTGATCATTGGAAATTTCCGGGTCAAAAGTTTTTGGAAGCAAGAGCATTGTTGCAAATGTGCTCTATTGAGGATTTTCATGAAAATTAAGATACCCGCAACCTAATGAGCTACACTGTCACAAAGTCGATATGGGAAGATCTTTTAAGCTTATTTTGGTTTAAAAATCAAAGTTTTAGATAATTCGAAAGTTCAGACGGTTTTGGTGCCAAATGATAGATCTCGACCGGGCCCATCACGCTTATATCATTTGAACCGGAATGCGGTCCGATAACATATCGAAAAATATGCTTAAATGACAAAAATCTGATTTTTATCAAATTGGTCGAAAACTGTCATTCAAACACATTTGTCGACATGTTATCGACCGGGATCGGCTCGAATGATACAGGCGTGATGAGCCCTGTTGAAATCTATCATTTGGTACCAAAACTGTCTGAATATCTCTAGGGAAGAGTTATCAGCCGACCCGCTTGCAACTATC